ATTCGAAATGCGAATATTCGGAAATTATTCGGTTCTAACTATACTTATTTACCCGAAAGAGCGGCAAAATCTCTATGGATTACAAATAATATGTCGCAGTCGCTTTACAAAACTAAGCACTTTCTTGTGTCAGGTTTGTCGCCTATACCCAGGCTAGTCCTTCCATCTGCTTATCCGCAATATTATACAAGTTGTCTCTCTTTCCACGTTTACCTTGAATATCCATATCGAATCATTCAATATTTTCTGCCAGTGGTCATGTAATTTTACGTTTACCCTGTGGTTGTTGAAATCCATACCTTCGTTTTCTATCAGTTTCCTGCCGTGGAGCAATTCTATGTCACACTGTTCGGTGGATGAGCTGCACACCGGCTTGGCAAATGCCACCAAGGAAACTCATAACCTTTGGGAAGAGAATAAGGATTTGCAGGTTTGTCGATCAGACTCATATTTTTCGAATGGCTTAACAGTTTTCCTTTAGATTCAGCTCAGTTTTGCTAATTGAAGACTTTGACATAAGACTTTGAAGACTTGTATGAATGTTAAATTATAGTAATTTATCAATCTTTTTTAGGGAAGATTTGTCAACGATCTGAATGAAATATCACGAATACAACAAGCTATTGCTCAGTTAGAGAGGGAACATCGTCAGGATCAATTACAACATGTAACGAGAGCTTTTGTCTTTCTAGTTTATAGATGTATCCAGAGTTTGAATCATAGAGAATTTTGACAAATCTGAGTTTCTCCGGATGTTTCGTAGGTACTAGACAAAGACGAAGAGGGAACCCTAGTTTTAAACAAAAATTTTCATCGATTCTGAATATCCAGCTCGAGCTTATACGTAAATCTTTTCTGCAGGCTCGTCAGTCTATGACCGAAATGCAAAGAAGAGCATCGCAGTTGTATTCTGTACTGACAACGAAAAGAGAGGAAATCGTGAAGAAGTTAAACGATGGGACCAATTTTGTTGCATTGTTACAGGTTTGCTCTTTTTTCCCTTGGATACTAGCATTTCTCTACCGATTTTGATGGGACAAATTCAGAACCAGTTGATTAGTGAGCGTCTCTTTGACTGGAAAAATCGACAAAAGCTTGCTCAAGTTGGCGTCCCTTTTGATAACCGTGATATGATGCTGGATGAAATACAAATGGAGTATGTGGAAAATCTTGTACATTTTCTTTTCTTTCGTACATTTTTAAAACATAATATTTCAGATTCGAGTTTCTAGCAGAACAGAATTGGCAATTGCATATGTTTGCTAGTTGGACGCTGGATCTTCTCACTAGAGGTGAGTTGAGGTTCCACCAAGTGCGAAACTCATATTGAACTTTTAGGTCCGCAAGTGAACGACAGCCATGCTCATTCCACAGCGTCAAACTTGACCACCTTAGCCGATCAGCTGACAAAGTTGCTGTTTATGTTGATCTCGCAAAGTTTTGTGGTATCTGTGCAGCCAGAGCCCGT